CCGTCAGACGTCGATTCATCAAAATATAGAAGACATACCTCTATGAACAAAATCCGGATGGAATTGAGGGACCTATTTGCACGAAGTTCGTCAAGCCTCCACCAGCCTTGCCAGACGGTGGCAAAACCTCATGCGTTATGACAACGTAAAGTTTGCGGGTGGAGCGATTCGTCGCCGATCACGGACAGGTCCAGATAACCCAGGTGAGGTCAGGCAATTGCAAGAAATATTTGGCATTGCATGGAGTTAGAAAGATTATTGAGATGACCAGTACTGAAAGCATTCCATGAATGACAAACGAACAAGGCTAAGAGTATATATAGATATATACAACAAGTTCCATAATATCTCGGAAGCTATTCAAGCTTAAGGAGCTAAAGCTGTTTGCAATATTGCCCCAATATCTGTGAGACAACATAGAGGAAACCAGGCACGCACTGCATTTCTTGGAAAATTACAGCACCTTTGAGATGCCTCAAGAATATTTTGAGGACTCCACAGCGGACAACCAGAAAGTAAGTACGACGAAGAATTCGAACTCGCCATCAACGAAGCTAAACCTGACCTAACCACTGGTCAGGACTACTACAACCAATGCTGAATGAAAAACACAGCAGGTCAACTTGTGCAAAGAACAATTGCCATTTGTTAACTGTTGGCTTGTTTAAGTCTAAGCATCATTTCGATCAAAGCGAGACAACCGTCGTGGATCATCAAAGCTGATTACGGTAATGGACGAAAATTTCGACGGTGCTCAAGTTTATCGTAAAAAAAGCATGTACTCGTGTTTTAATCATATAGTACTGAAAGTGATGATTAACCTTCGCTATAGAGCAGCGTGTTTTTGATTACGTCATTAAATGCGCACAGCGATCATTATTTAGCTAATATTCTCCTAATCCGTTCTCCAGATTTATGCGGCGTGAACTTTTCCTTCCATAGGCTTCAGATTTCAGTTGTCAGGTTTGTTAAGTGCTGCCTTCTCCGGGCCATAAAGCAAGGTGTTCAGAATGCAATGCCTGTATTTCCGCAGCTTTGCGCCATTGCCGAAATCTTTGATCTTTGTTGTTGAAGAGAGACGTTGAAAAATATGTTTTTTGCTGCTGAGAGCCAACGCACAACGCCTGTTTTCCTCTCGATTGCCTCTCTCACGTGTTCAGTCAATGAACTCCAGAGATGCACATGTTTTTGTACCTTTTCCACGGCTTCGGTGTAGAAGACAGCGGTCTGTTGATATGCTAGGGTTTAAAATTATCTAAATAGGAAAAATGATTATTCCTAATTGAAAATAGAATACAATTGACATCTGGTTGTGGTTGGGAGAAATGCTATGGATGATAGTCCATAGCTACCGAGACGACCAAATTATGAGTGCAGAACTGATAGATTTGCGAAAGCGACGGTCAGAGGGGCAAACAGCGCTAGGAAAGTAGCGCATCGTAGTGATGTTGAGGGGGCTGATGAACTGTTTTGAATCATAAATTAGTAAAAAGTTGAAAGATGGTTGTTTGAGAAAGGTCAACATAAAATCTTACTTTTCAGCATAGACAAATGAGAAAAAAATGTTTGCCTGAGTTAAATACTTATGACAACCGAAGCGAAACATGATTTAAACCAAAGGTAGAAAATGAAGAAACCGAATTGCTCTCCGATCCATTTTTGGAAGACTATTTATGACGTTTGTTTGGCTTTGATAAATAAAACTGTACCAAATTAACTGCTTTACCAAGAACATGAAATCACTGTGCAGAACAAAGGTCCTTCAGAAGCTAAGGATCGTTCATCGTCTTAAAAGAAAATCATACCTGAATTTTCATTGCACTCCAAAGGTATGACAAAACGTATGAGGTAAGAATTGATATGTTTAAAATATGCAATCATCAGAAAGAAACTGCAAAGCTGAGCACTCTAACAACAATATCATGTGCTGAATGATATCGTTTAAATTATAAATGCCCATTACGCCCATATTCATAATAACCGGGGCGAAACTACGTTTGATCGATACGAAACAATGAAGGCCTCGCGAACAGTTGAGTTCTGTTGCAAGGATAAGTTACGACGGCCGGTTTCGTAGACTGGATAAATAAAAACCGTTATATCAAAGAGGGCATCAGATATGTGTGCTGTACCGAAACGCCGATGCTGCATCGGGAGCTGCATAAGTCATCGCGTATGAAATTGATGGGCTGTTGTGGGGGGGGGCGCCTAGACAAAGGAAACGGAGGTAGACCCTCGAGGAATGTCCATTGCCAGCCGCAAGCTGGACAGAAACGGTTCAAGTCCCTCTTCAGCGAAACCGTTCCAAATTGGCCACATGGAGAAGGGGCTGCACGGACCGGGAGAGGGTGATCGAAGTATATACAAATTTACAAGGTCCTAAATCACCTCGGAACGACTGCGCAATTTTTGAAAGTCGTTTCGAACGGACACGAGCGAGGCGAAAAACTGTTCCGGGAAATTTCGCCGAGGTCAGCCGAGCCGTAAACTCGGCTTTTATCGCCAACAGGCGTGACGGAGGATGTGTTGCGAGGTCGGCTACTCGACTCACCGTTTCTCATGGTCCCGACCCTCTCCTTTACCACGGATTTAATTGCGCTTGCGCTCACCGTTCATTTGACGAACGTGTGTTCCTTTCTGTGGTCAGTGTTTTGCACCACCA